TACTTCTCTGTACCACGCGAGTTTATTTTGAGACCATGTACACATTGTTAATTGCCTGTGTTAGTGGGCTCCCGACCACTTTCATGTTTTTACCTCCACATTTTTACTTGCATTTGGGGCCTAATATCTCATTTGGTGCAGAGTGTTTTGCTTATTTTTTCAAGTAAGTTTTGGTAGAAGAGCTGCCTGAAGCTTTATAATATTTCCTTAAATATTTGGAAAATTTTCATGCCTATTTACTTAGCAGGCGGTTGACAGTGACCATATTTTGATAATAAAGAAGGACGGAACAACAAACGCTCCAGGTTAAGCTTGTTTTTAAGATATTTTTTCTTGGATTTAATGGGCAACGTCCTTTTTAGCTAATGGTACCATTCCAAAGCAAACGAAACAATAAAGAATACCTAGTAGTTAAAATAAAATGGCAAGTCACAAGCTAAACCTCCAATTTTCAAATAATCGCTAAAGTCAATTTCTTTAAAGGCGCACTACTGGGATGATAGTTTCTTTTAAGGCCAACTTGTGTCCTAAGTTATGCCTACTGAACTTAGCTTAAACCATTACTTATAGTTCATACATCAGCAGACACTATGGAGTTTATGTACCTACTGAAAATGCGAATATAGCAACCATATTTAACAAATGGTGGTCTTAAACCAACATTTTATTCAAATTTACCCACATATCTGCATTAGTTCAACGTATAGGTCACCCAGCCAAGGTACCTATGGTTCAAATAGACGAGCGCTTGTTTGCTGATCAGACATGCTGCAAACCGAAAGTCTGCACAGGAGCTTCCTTTCAGCCTATGCAGAAATAGACCTACACAATCGCGGATATATTACACATGGTGATTTGCACAAATTCGCAGAGAATGCTGGTCTCCCTGAATCATTTGCAGAAGTAGTGCTCAACCTCTTTTAATCACAATTTCCTTACAAATTTTATAGAGATGGATTACTCTTTTTGATCCTGAAAGAACAGGCAGCTTCACGTATGAGCACTTCTGCGAAGTCATTGGACTCAACAAGAAGAATCCCGCGTAACTTTATTTTTAAATTATTTTTATCTCGTTCTTGGTGCTTTTTATGTTTCATTTAGTTTATGCTTCCTTTTAAGGTACTTAATACTCAATTAACTATTCGTTTAAATTAGTGTTGAAAATCGGCCACGGTATGTATGGTAAAGAGGTTTGGGTTTTGTACATCAGGTTTTTCACATACTAGGCACTTTATACCTGCGGACAGTAGGAGTGCATTAGTTCAACAGTCAGTCTAGTTATGTATTTTAACCGAATTTTAAGGGTAGAGATTACTAAGTTATGCAAAAATGTTAGGTTCCTTAAGCTTGGCATGAGACGCAATGCTTATTTGCAGATCACCAGGCCCCACAGATGTCAAAGACATAATTGACTACAAGAGTACCCTATCACCGAAACAGAAGGCTGACGTATCCAAGTATCTAGAAAACGAATTTAAAGTAGAGGACCCAAGTGGTTCGTTGCAGCAAATGTTGCTGTACCTGGACAAGCAGCATGGGCCGCGTTGGCGCTCCCGTACTGTCCTCGATGAACACAACATTCCAGCTGTTGAAGCAATAAACAAGCAGGTGTACGCTTTCAGCCCCGACGGTGGTGCTCACAAATACCTCATCTGGCGTCAGAAGGAGAAGCGAAGTGGTGGCTGCTGTGCTTGCTTCGTCTAGACACTGAACCCTCCAAAAACATTTTATTACCTAGTTCCATATGCCTGTTATTTCCGGCAGTTGTTCTGATTCTTTAGTAAATGCTTCTGTTGGTCCAACTGTTTGTAAAATTTGTGCATCATTTTTTTGTGTGTTTGTTGTGCAGCTATCTAAAAAAATGAGTTCAAAAATGCATTCTTGATGCAATAGTACGCGCCAAATTTAATGAATGGTTTTTCGCATTTTACACTAAAAAATTATCGAAGTTGTGTGATGGACCAGGTTTACGCTTGTTTCTACACTTGCCCTACCCTGATTTTGGGTATAAAATGCTCTAGGTAGGTCGTGGGCATGATTTCAAGCTAGGTCAACATGATCAAGTTTATACAAGGAAGCGGGATCGTGCATTTCGCCACATCTCACAACTCACAGCGAGACACACTTGTGACGCAATGCCTCCCCACTCGACTTGATGATGCTGGCGGGAGGTGGCTCGAACCGACTCATCACCAATCACACACCAGCCAGTCAGGCAGAACAGCACACGTTAGATGGGAGGTCAGGAGGACGATGTCAGTGGAGTGTGGAGGGACGGGGAGGGGACGGTGATGTAGGAGTTTTGGTGAAGAGACTTTCGAGGAGTCGCCAATAAGGCGAGCTAGGGTGTCACCGAATACTGCAAGTGGGGAGAAGTGCGAATCCCACACACCTGTGGTGACACGCATTTAGGATGTGTAAAGGTGAGGATGA